CACAAAACCGCGTCCAAGGGAACGGCCTATCTCCAGATGACAAGACCGGTCTATAGGTATCTTAAAGGATACCAATACGCCATCAGGTAATCCAAATCAACATAAACAAATTATCTAAAAATCCTGGTGTTGATTTTTGATGAATTTATTCGACAGACCTTTGCTGGAAAAAGAGGATTCAGGCTCCTCTTTTTTCCTAACTATGCAGGGAAACCCGCTGTAAAGCAGCAGAGTCTCTGCATATGTTCAGAGCTTCGTGACGGAGTCCAACGTCATCCCAAGAGATAAAAGGTCAGTCTTTTTAGGTAAAATAAGCTTTAGTAAATAATTAGAGAAGGTTTTTAGACATTTGGGATGATATAAGGAGGTTTTAAACACAAAAAGACTGGTGTCGTTTTCTCAGCAAAAAGGTCGATTTCTCAGCGAAAAGGTCGATTTCTCAGCATTTTGAAAGTTTCAAATATCATCATTCTGTGTAGGTGTGTCCAACCGACAGAAGAACACTGTCATCAAAGATGGCTCACAGCCAGAGGTAAGCTATTTACCTGTAAATAAAAGTTGATCTAAATTGCCAATTTTGCCACTTTCGATTTATCTCTAGGACAGAACAACTGTGGTACGACCTCACTGAGAAGAGAGAGTCTGCCACAGAGGGTTTCCTACTCATGGAGAAAATCAAAGAAAACATTTCGGGAAAGACCAAGGAAGAGTCTCCAGTGAAAGGCGACAAAGTTGTTACGAAAAAGAGGTATAGCAAAAAATTGAGCTTTTGACTATTGACTCGGTTTTAAACTCCAGTATTTTGCATTGGCAGGACACGAAAGGTCTGGAATAAGGAGGATGAGGTGGCAATTATAAAAGCCTTTGAACCCGACATCAAGTCCAAAATGAGACCGAAAATTCAGCCGATACTGGAGAAATTTAAAAAGGTTCTCCCAGAAATCTACAATATAGAAGATTCAAAGAAGCATAGAGAAAGGTGTTTCGACAAAGTGCGAACCCTTTGGGATCGAAACGAACGAGATCAAAACAAAGAGCCTAGCTATGTCTGCCTGTAAATGTGTAAATGTATTTATATCATAATATTTTAACAAGTGAATGTCCTGAATCAAAATAAACGACACTTAAAGTTACACCGTAACCTAGTAGGAAAGACGAAAATAAATTTTCAACCAACATTTACATCTCATTTTACCGAACTTTATACTACCACAAATCTACTCTTGTACATCTATTTTCCCCAAAAGATGATTAACTCTGATTTTATGATAACAATTACTTAATAAATAGTGTGTACTAAACGTTTTAGCACATTAAAAACAAGAATTTTGTCACGAATGAAGCTCCGAACCGAAAAAATCGAACAGAGAACGAATTTCAGACCAACATTTACAACATTTTACCCAACTTTATGCATACAAATATCCTTTTTTTACATTTATTTTACACAAAATATGCTTAACTCTTATGTTATAACTAGACGCATATTTGCGTAAACTCGTGGTTCTCTGTTAAGGTGCAGGGAACTAGTGATGTATATTTTGAAAATCACGTAATGGTCAACATAAGCAAAGCTACAAGAACAGATCATTTTGTTCTATGTGCTTTTCTAATGAGTGTGAAAGCAATTGGTGAAATTGAGGTACCTGATGTGTCAATACAATTTACAAAGAACTGAAGTTATACATGTTAACTTCCATGTCCGTTTGCTAGTTTGTGCCGAGTTTGGCTGTTATAGTTTTGTGTACCACAGGAAGTCCGAGAAAATTGTCTTTTCACGACCAAAGAATTGTTTTCATTGTTTCGCACGATTTTGTTTTTGAACTATCAATGCATGGGGCTTTTGCCGTTTTAGTATCAGTATTGATTTCTAGTTATAATTTAACATTTTGTTTCGGTTCTGAGAATGTAATAAAAAAGCGGTATTGACACTGCATAAAAATGATAAGTTTGTAAATGCAAGTTGRTGATGATAAGCAACAAGAATATCAATAACTACAACGTTTTAACTTTATTAACACAACTGTGACTTACAAGAAAATATTACATGCAACTGCAAACAATATTTAAACGGTAGTTTTACGGTGGGAACAAAAATAGTCTACCTTAGCCAGTATATAGCTAAGTATTTGCAGTTTGTTCACAGTTATTTGTTCGTCAGTTTCAGCAGGGTTTTGTGGAATCTCTGCTAATTCCGGTTCGTTGATTGACGATTTTTTATTTCAACGTAGTTGAGAGCTTTTTTCTGGCTGCCCATACTCTCACCTGCACGTTGTTAAGGATAACAAGAAGTATTACAGAAGTATTACATCTAAATGATGAGATATGAAAATTGAGTTTCAGCTAATGCATAATACATTTGGCGAGACTTTTCAATGGTTTTGGTCAAGCTATGAGACAATATGATGCAATCTATATTTTAGTTTATTTACAGCACTCTTTTATATTAGATGCTTTGTAGTAGTTCAGAGCACAGCCATGATTACAATAAAATAGAGACTTACAACGTAATTTATTACTTTTTCATTGATGAATACTTGATCTAGCATTAGCTAGACTGCGACTTGATACAAATATTTGTACTGGATTTCGAAAGAATTGATCAAATGCGGGAGTGAAAAAATTAATTGTTGTTAAAATCGTCTATTTGATATTGTAAAGACAGTTTGAATAGACTATGTTGTTGGTCGCTGGACAGGAATACCGAAGATTGCAGCTTGTTGTTAACATACGTTTTTGCCAGCATTTATAATAAACTTCTTGATATCTGGCTGATGAGTCCGCAAACAGGAAACTCAGAGTTGCAGCGAATCACGTTCCTTTTTATCTAAAAATTACAATAATATAAGTTTCTTAATATAATTTCAACTGTATTGTTCCAAGTCTTGTTTGTGTCAGGGTTGTTTAACGAGAGACTCATTGGTGTCTTTGTAGAAACTTTTAAATGAGAACCAACAAATGCCATATTTTGTGTGTTCTTTTTATCATAATTGTTCMATTTCTGTAAGGGATATCGTAGGAGTGTAGTTGGATCGTTAATCAGTGAAGAAGTTGCAGTTGGTCATGCTTTCTTTTTATTACAAGTTGAAGAAATGATCTATACGACAAGAGGAAGAAAAGTATTAGCTTGTGTTGTTTACATGAGGATTAACATTTAGAGTACTTACCTCTGGGGAAACAGCATAGAACTTGATGTGCTTCCCGACTGTGATTGGTCTATTGGTAATAGACCATCCGAACCAATCACTACAGTCCCAGGTATAGTCTTCATATTTTTTGAGATGGCGGCTGGTGATCTTAGCTTGTTTGGCCGTTTTCGTTCAGATAGATAACGATAACGTATCACTTGGTGTTGCCTTATGTATGGTTGTTAAAGTAAATATTGTCGAATTTAAAAAAGTTTTATTGAAAGACTATGCTATTGTGATAAACAACAATAAGAACAGATAAACCTACAATGCCCGTATTTTTTTCCGTGAATGTTTATCAATTCACAATAGCATATGTCGTCAATAAAAATAAGGAAATACACTCTGCTCGCAGGGTAGTCGTATTGTTGCTGCAATTCGGGGTTCTTGTTGAGAAAAATCTAGTAGTGATATGCAATATGCAATATGAAACTGCAATATGAATTATTCAGCGTAAATTGTTGTATCGATATAGTTTGTATGCTTTCATAGTTTCTTGGAGTTCGTTTAGACTTTTAAATTTTGCGGCGCATCAATATACGAGTATAAGAGAAGACCCTACTTTGCATAGCAGGCATTGTAAACAATAAACTAACTATCATAATGGTCAGTGCTCTTTGCGGTACGATAGTTCAACATATTCTAGAAATAATAGTTTTTCTATAATTTATTCTTCATCCATGTTAAGAATGTCTCCTGTGATGCTAATTGTAGATTTAAGTTTATTTTGGTAGGTTTACAGTATAGTGTCTAAGAGTCAGTAGTAAATTGTATATGCATGATACTGTAAGAAAAAGAAATATTCATTTGAAAGTGAATGAAACTTTAATTGCTTCATGATCARAGTAGTATACTGGTATTACTGAAGTACAAATATCACTTAAGTTCCACATATCCTTTCTTATATAAACATGGTCTAATAAACTTCCTGATATAAATGTAGGACCTTGAACAGTTTGTGTATAATTTAAACGTTGTGTAATAGTATTTATTGCTTGGACGTGACTATCGTTAAGAAAGTTCATATTGAAGTCTCCTAAAATAATATCAATTTTCTGTCTGTTAAGTATAAATTCTAGATTTTGTGCATATTGGTGAATATTTTGCCCATTTTTGCAATATAGTAAAAGTATGTTTATTTGTATCATGTTACATGTTTCAACAACAAAGGTTATTGCATTTATTTCAGGAATGTGGTGATATTCTCTTATTTCTAAAGGAGCTTTTGAACACAGTGCTAAACTGGAATACTTATCTGTAGCATGATCTTGCCTGACTAATGTAAAGGGTTGAAGATAATTTCTTTTTTCAGTATCATTGCTGCTAGGTAAAAGCTGTGTTTCTGTAAAGCATATCATATCTGTATCAAAAAGATTTGCATCATGTTTTACATCAATGCTGTGCTTTTGTAAAGGACCTGACATTTAGAACACAAATAGTTAACTTTTGAGTGTTTTCTGGGGAAGCTTCAAGTGGTGATGTGTCTCTTAATCTCTGATATTCCTTATGTACTCTTGGGTCTGCTTTAAAATGTTTATTTTCTATTTTCCCTAAAGTGTACAAACCATTCATGGAACCTGATCGACTTAAAGCAACATATACTTGTCYGTAGTTAAATGACCTTTGTCTTATAAGCTCGAAGCTAATTACAACCTTGTCTAAACTGAGACCCTGAATTTTATGTATAGTAACTGCATAGGCTAATGTAACTGGAAATTGGAGCCTTTGAATTTCTGGTGAAGATGGTTTTCCASGCCTTATTTTAATTTTAGCAAGAATTGGCTCCATGGGAACAACATTGTTTTCTTTAACAAATTGGTTTGTAGATTTAGCGATCACATTTTTGCCAGCATGATCATCATCAAATTTAATATAAATGACATTAGGTTTTTGTGTGTTTTGATTAACTTGGATCTTAATGATAGTACCTATTTGGCCATTAATGAGTCTGTCTGCAATATCTATATTGCTTGTTAGCATAACTCTTGCACCTTCTTTGACATGTATATCATAATCTAGTCCACTAGTCTCAGAACGACCTCTTGATAATACTTTATCAATGTCTGTTTGAGAGACATGTGGTGGATACTGATCTGTTGCTCTAAGATTAAACATTGTTCCAGGTAGTTCAGCTAATTTTTTATTGTTGTGCTTATCAACTGGTCTATTTTCAGCATAAATATGTATGGCATCTGATGGATAATTTTCATCCTCTGGGTCTATTGATCTTGATTGTATCTGCTTAATGTCTTCTTCAGTTTGGTTAGCTGTACGAAATCTGTTWAGCATTTCAACAAATGGTTGGTCATCTTTTGAGCGCATGTTATCAATAAGCTCTGAAAAAGATGCCATGGATGACACAGGTTAAATGTTTCATTGTGGAAATTTTCAAATACTGTTTTTTTTCTTATAGGTGGAAGTTGATAGAAATCGATTATACTTATTCCAGCAAATAGTTTAGAGACAGGTGTAGCAAATATTTCTTTTAATCTTTGATGGATATGTAGTAGTGTGGTATTGCCAACCATAGAAWTCTCATCTACTATTATGAGTCTCAGTTCAGATAAGAAGAGTCTCAATTGTGTCCTGAACCAGCTTCTTCTGGAATACCCAAAGCTGTATTAACAGTAGTACCATGAATATTTATTGCAGCAACAMCTGTWGGGGCYATTAACAGTACTGATGGTAAGTCTGGGTTAACAGCAACATGTCTAAATGTTTTTGTTACAGTATGATATATTGTTTTAATCAAGTCGCTTTTGCCAGCTCCACCACCACCAGTAAGAAAAATATAAATTCCATCAACCTTTTGTGGTTTGATACAATTGATGTCTTTGACTTTATTTCTAGACCATGTTAGAACATGGTTAAATGTATATCTCTGTCTGTTATTCAAAGATCTCACAGAATGGCGTAGTTCATCATCAGTCATTTCTGAAGGTCGGATATACCGAGATAGTGCTGAAGCCTGATGAGACTCAGGTGTAGAAGACAGGTGTGAAGGTGTATGTTGATTGAATGTTTCATCTTCAACATTTGATTGTTCTAACTGGGAGTGTATATCTCCATTTTCTTGATCATTGATAGGATCATATGAGTGAAGTGTGTTGATATCATTGTTTCTAAGTACATCAAATGCTTCGATGACAGCATCAGAGTGGTTCAAAAACATTCTTATTTTTCTCTACTATAATTTTGACATTTGGTTCACAGAATTTAGACATGTAGGTGTGCTGATCACCAAGTAGCTCAGTTTCTTCTTTCCATGGATAATATAACATGAGGAGATGAAGGAAGTAAGCATCAAATTCTGCTRAGCACATTATTATTTATAGATGGGATATAGTTTGGTCTTATACTATAACGCTCTATAATATTGGATTTATAAATGTCTGTACTATCATCTTCTAATTCATCAAGTTCTTCTTGGCTATTTGCTACTCTTATTCTTTTATCTGGCATATCTGTACTTACAAAAACTGTTTTAGGAAATATCTTTCTTAACCAAAGCCCAGGCATGCAGCGATATATACTTTCCTGGGAACTTACTTCTCTGGAAGAAAGAAAAGCAGCACCAATTTTTTAAGCCCTTCTTTAACATTCAGATTTAGCCTAACGTGCAGCATTAACAATAGCTTGTGAGCATTCAGTTTCATCTTTTGTAAAATAACTACATACATATGTAATACATTTATAATGATTAAAGATAGGTTGGAGATCTACATTTGCAGCAAAGCCTTTAATCCCAGCTATRAAATAATTATTAGTAAAAYAACTGTCAAGAGGTCTTTTAAGATGCAAGCCATAATCAGAATCAGGTGATATTGATAATGCTGCTTCATATTCTTGTTTGGTGATACCAACATCTTTAAAAATATCTTCATCAGTAAGAGATGGATTATATTCAGGCTTGCTAGGGTTCAGGACTTCATCTATTTTCTGTTTCACTAAAGTAAGTATTTCTCTGCATTTGTTCAATGTACTAATTTTGTTTATCCAATAATTGTTGCTTTTGCATGCTGTCCATTGTTTGATATTTTTCATTTCGTTTATCCAATAACTGTTGTCTTTCTTCGCATCCCATTGATTGATACTTTTTGGTCCTCTTGCAATTTATTCTTTCTTTATTTTCATGCATGTACATTGATGTTTTTTTCTTTGGTGGTGCCATTTTCTCATAATCGTGTCTCTGTCTATGATTTTTTATTAATCTTTTTCTTTCATTTTTGTCTTTATCACAATTACATGACAAAAACTGTAACGTATATTGCTGTTCACATGTATTTTGCTTATTCACATTCCACAAGTGACGATGTTCCATTAACACCTGCATGTTGAAGTTGTGGTGTTTTAGAATTATCATAAAAGAAGTATAACTTTGACTTCTTCCTGACAGTTTTAAATATACAACAGATACAGYATGTTGAAAACCAAATCAAACATCCAGAACTCTTAATAAAATTGTTGTTTATAATACTTTCAAGAGTGGACTTACTTTCTATTGAATCAGACAAAACTCCATTTATGACAGTATCACTTTCACAAGTTACTTACTCCACAAATATCAATTGTGCATGGGATATCATCTGATGTTATATGAAGATTTAAACAGAGATATTCACATAATAGTCTTCCTCCATCTATAATATTGTTGAAATTCTCTGAATTCTAATAGCTGCATGATTTCATTGTAGAATAACAAATTGAATAGACAGCTACAGTACAACTCAAGTTAAAATTYGTGCAGTTGATTTCAATGGCAGGCACAGTACCACCTTGAACATTATTATTGATATGCACAGCTTTAAGTTCAAATATATCATTATGTATACTTTTAAAATACTGAATCAAGCTATCTAATGATGACAATTCAATTAAGACACATGTACCACAAGAATTGCTTCTACCATACATATCTCTTGCATGAGAGTCAAATACTTTAAATCCCATAYKATCACCACGACAGTATATAGCAACAGCAATACACCCTATTGTTAAAATGAAACTGGTGTAATTGTTAGATATCAAAGATGTAAATGCTATTTCTAATGAAGTGCAGTTSTCATATCCTTCTATTGTAGTCTCTTGGTGCACATTGAAGTTTATAATCTGCATCAAACATATTTAAATCTGTAGGTAATTCTGATTGCATGAGAAATGATTGTCCAGCTGATTGTGACAATCGTGTATACAACTGATTTCCTATGTCCATTATCTTTACAAGATCATTCGATGAATTAATTCCTTGATAATTATTATAAATCAAAGAACATAAACTCATAGCAACACATTGTTGTCCWGCATTTTGTCCAAACATGACAGCATTACCTTGGCTATATGGTGCTCGTATTGTCTTACTAGGATCAACAGGATTCTTTTCTATATCATTGTGTAGTTTACACTTACAGTATTTCATTACATGTGAGAGGGTCTTATAAAGAGACGTCGGTCTGTTACAAGAAAGAAAAGACATATAGCGACTAGCTTCATATTTCAACTTTCGTCCTCGAGATCTATATGTTCRTGTATCAATCCTCTTTAATTTTGAGACACAGTACTTTCTTCTAAGCCTTCCGAAGTTGATATAGTTATGCAACTTAGAAGATCTGGGAATATTGCGACAGATTCGATGATAAACAAYCCATCTTAGCTTTCTACTTTTGTTATGTAAGCGTCTTAGAAATCGTTTTGGTAYCCTACTGGGTTCACGACTACGACTACAACGTACATGCCGATAATTATAATAAACAAACCTTGAATAACGAGATCTTGTAGTACTTCTAATGTTTATTTTAACTTCTGCATCATTGTTTTTTTTTTAACATATTTATTGAAATAAATCCACGTTACAAGGTACAATACAGAAGAAGGTAAAACAAAAGAAATTACACTGTGACTAGGAATAGACTACAAAATTAATTACAATTTATATATAAGATTATTAAATATATTAATTCAAAGATAAATTAATAAATTAACAAATTAACAAAGGTCCGTTTTTTTCAGTAAAGCATTTATCTGTTCATATTTCTTTAAATGCTTGAATGTTTTAGACTTACTCTCGGCTATGATGTATTCAACTTTTTCTTGCAATATTAATTGATGTTGAAATTCTTGGGAGTGGGAACTTTAAACTTATTTCTTGCTACATATAACAAACGTTTAAACAATAACAACAACATATTTTCCATGATACCACTGTCAGAGCCCAACAGGATATTTTTAAAGTTAAGTTCTGGGAAGTTGATCTCATTTTGTTTGAGCCAACTTTTACATTTAAAATACAAATTTCTTGTTTCAAGACAATCCACAAAAAGGTGTTCAATTGTTTCACTTTCGTTGAAACAAAAACTGCATTTAGCAGAGTCTACTAGTTTAAAGGACTGAAGTTTTTGATTCAGGTAAAGACAATTATTTAAAATCTTATACTGGAACATTCGTAAGTTTACGTCAATTGTGCTTTCATATATTCTATCATATATCCTTTCGCATTGTATGTCTGGTAGAACCAGTTTTTTAGATAGATATCTTTGTGAAGACGGTTTTACAAATTTCTTTGAAATAAATTCCCAATACAGCATTTTAGAACTAATCTTAGACAGTATAATTGGTGTAGCATTTAACGTTAACGTTCTTACAGAGCTAATGGTATTTGTTGTATATTGATCTTCGTTTAGTTTATTTTTCCAATCAGTTGGAATAGCGTCAATGACACTCCTCAGCGTTAAAAAGTCACTGTATTCCCATCCTTTTAGTTTGATCCTATCCCATTTCCATTTTTTACCTCGCTGCCACGCCTGGTCAACAATCTTTATTCCTTTACCAATGATGAGAATTTTCTAAAGGTTTCCAACACCTCAAGAGTTTTTTCTAGTGAAGGCACATCCTTGAGACAAAGTGTAGCATCATCTGCAAAAAGTACTATTTTAGTCGGCTCGGACGATTCGTCTATCCTAAAACCATATATTTCATTATTATTACGAATTTGTTGTGCTAAAATTTCAATTACTAATATAAAAAGATAAGGTGAGATTGGGTCACCTTGTTTAGTTCCTCGGTTCAGTTGAAAGCAATCCGTGACATACCCGTTGTTCATGACGCAGCTTGTTATATCTTTGAACAGGGTAGTTATCCATTTTATAAATCCATTGCCGAAACCAAAATGCCTCAAAACTGCAATAACAAAATTATGTTCGATCGAGTCGAACGCTTTCTGAAAATCAATCGCACATAAAATGTACGGTTCTTGTTTT